TATGTTATATTGAAGAGTATGTATATTATCGACAGATATACAGAGCATATCTCAATTACCTCAAACTTTTTTATTTACAGATTTTCGAAAAAAGATTTACAAGATTTTCATATTTTACTGAACGTGTTTCTCGTATATTTTCAATCAATAAATATCTGATTAGGCGATACTTATCAGTTCGCTGTTTAGGATACAAGTTATCATTACGATATTGAATCTATGATTGAGACCTAGAATAGAGCGTAACATTTCTTATAACGCTTCGAGTCCGACCGTCCCTCGAGAGAAACGAGTAGAAAAAGTAGTGCGATTTTACGCAGATGCGCGGTCGGGAGGGATAATCTCAGATTGCTGGACGACTCAATATTCACCGCCGGTGCACCCCGGCGCGGCGCGTCGCACGCAACGCGTCCTCCCGCTCGGGACAAAGAGGAACACCACAGTTCAACTCTACGAGAGAAGTTACCATTTGCATTTCCGCTGCAAACGCGGCGCCACGCACGTGCCTATATCGTGCGCGTCGTTCGCGCACCCCTCGAGAACCGTCGGGCGAAGAAGCACGCGAGCCACGACGAGGAGGAGCAAGAGTTTCCTCGCCGTGTACTTTGCATAATTTCACGAATCGCGCGTATAATCGTTCCGCCGCCGCCGTCGTCGCCGCTACGCCGTCGGTGCTACGAAACGTGTGCCGGCGACGACGCGGTTGTTTCGTGCCGCGGGCAATCCCGCGAGTCGACCGGCATTAGCATAAGGTTTTGACGGAGTGACGCGTGTGCGCACACCTCGCGCCTGCTGTCCTCCGAAAGCGACACGTGGCCCCGCCACGAGACGCGACCGGAAGGGTTGAGGCCCGATGAATTCCCTGTGTCAAGTCCCCCTCCCCCCCTACTCCTTCTTTTTCTTCTTCTTTCCGCCGCGCCGAAACTCGGATCGAAGAACTCGAGAGTGAATGTTTAGACATAGGTGTATATACGGAAGTGTCGATGTGACACGTGCCGCGACACGACGGGACGTTTGCTCGCTCCGCTCGCTGTGTACTCAGCATTAGCATGGGATTTCAATGCCAGCTCGGCGTATAGATTTTCTTGCCTTTATTCTTCGGAGCGCTTTCGGGATGTCGTGTGTATAACTATGGAATGTATAAGAGATTCGGTCGGGCCTCTTCACGCAGTATTCTGCAGGAACCGTGCATAAATAATGGAAATAGAAATCACTCGAAAACTGTTTTTGCCCGGCGCGCGCGCGACATTCTGTATATTAATGAATTAAATCTTGTGTCACCTACCGACGTAATTTGTTTGCCCATAGGTGAATATTTAAGCGTGCTCGAGTCTCTTCTATTAGAGAAAACAAATTACGAAATATTAAGTAAAGTACAAAGTCTCCCATCTTGTCTCGCGGTTATAACAGCAACAACTTTATAACGAGGGGGAATTCAATTGAACGCGCGGAGCCTTCAATGCGCGAGACAATGCGACTCAAAAGCGCCGACAGCGTTCCATCACTAGAAAATCAATTTTCCCAGCGAATATCGGAGCCTATTGTTCCCTTTTTTCCACATGTCTCGTTCTATTCAACGCGGCAATCGCGTCGTTTGGGGAATTTTATCGAAGCAGCCGCGGTAATGTCGAGGTGGACTGTCGATGAACGACCATGACCACGCGCACAATGGTTCATGCGATCCTTCGTCTCTTCGCTTGATGCCGCGTATATCTACGTCGCTTTTGTGTCGCGCCTAAGACGCTTCGAAAAAGCACCGCGACTAATTAATATCCGAGCTTTTTGCCGAAGCAACGTGGACGCGCGTATCAAATTTCTGACCGATCACGAAGTTATCCGGTAATTTCAACGATCTCCTCCATTGAGTATTCCTGCGAAGTTTATTGCAAATTGTAATGTACAGAAAACTTGATTCGTTTAAACCTAAAAAGCTAAAAAACTAAGAAGTCTCTAATTATATTCAAGGATCACTCGATTTTTAGAAATGCATTTACTAATTTTACGCAGATTTTTCTTATGCCGAATTGTTATAAAAATCTGGACGAGTTTAATAACTACGATATATCTATAGTAATAGAAATAAATAATTTCGTGAAGTACACTTGAATCATAAACGTCTGGTTAGGTCTAGTCCTAATTTGGTCGAAAGTTTATGGATTTACCAATTCACACATCTATATAAAAATATTTAAATAAAAATAAAATAAAATAAAAATAAAATAAAAATCAAAGTTGCAAATATGTAACAAAAAAAGTTTCAAGAATGTTCTAATTTCATGCAAAGTTTTAGCAAATAAAAACCCTTTTTTTACAACGCTTTAGATTCGCGATTATGAACAGAGTAGATTTTATTGCCTCTTACATACTATGAATAACAGAAAGGATTTTGCGTTGAACAAAAATAATTTATGGGACATCGAAACATGGTAAATGATGAGCACAAGTCTCGAGCCAGCACGTCACCTTAACGTTTCCTCGTCATTTCTAATTCATTAAGCGGATGTGAGTTAGTCTCCCAGTGTTTGTAACTACTAACTTGACTTATGATCTCATCATGCGATCGAGGTTACAGGCTTGGTTAGTGGCTATAGTGCCATGTATGTCGATCCAAGATAAAAAATCCTAAAAGCCAATATTGTAACGAATTATATGGCGTAAAACCTCACACCATAATTATGCGTAACGTCGCGTCTGTAATATGATTTATCTCAATTATGAAATTATGAGACCACCGAGCATGTAAAAGTACATATATCCGCCTTTACAAATATCTAGGCATACATCAATTTTTTACCGAGATGCAAAGATAAAGCTTATCAGACTCCCACACAGATAGTCGAAATTTTGTATAGCATTAATTTTGATTCGGTATTATTTATTTTGATTCATTCGCAATGATTAGTGAAATGATAAGATTCGTAGCAATCGCGACTTACCAAAATGTTTCTGATGCAACCGTCGTGATGGCTCCTTGTGATGGCAGGATAAGGATATTCAGGATGGAACATAAAAATTGAAACAAGAAAGAAACAAAAAAGTAAATGACCTGTTTGTAATTTTTATTTTAGACTAGAACGGAAATAAACGCAGTGTAACGTATAATATTATTAACATAATATTAATCAATACTAATAAAATGATCAAGAATATGAATTGTTAAATAATGCGATAATAATAATAATAATAATAATAAAATATATACATAAGAATGGTAGGAAAATAATGTATTGATCGACATACATAACATTGTTTCGGATGCATTCTATCAGTGATACATAATACCGCATAAATGAATGTAGGAAAAGTAAGCGACAAGCAAAGCCACACCCTCGTCAGCCACGGATACGAGTGTAAAATAAAATAAATTCGAAAAAGAAATAAACGGACATTGTGTGTATCGCCAGCTGCTCAAACTCGAGAGATATCCGGTTCCAATCAAAGGAAAAAAAAACGTGTAGGCAGACGAGAGCGTGACCATCACAAAGAAGATTCATAAATAACTAATATAAAAGAAAATAATAATTAATAATAAATCGCATAGTAATAATCGGTATCGTTCCCGATATCGTACCTATATTACGTCCTCGTTAATGGCAGATAAGGCGCTACAGTACGTAGAATTAGTATCGTCGTGTTTACGCGTACTTGAATAGAGGCTAGTTGCGAGGAAGAGCCCTATCCGGATTTCGGGTTCGATTTGTTGGGGGAAACTTATATGGAAGTATTTACAATAAAAGTTATAAACACGAGGCGAGTGTGAAATCCGTGAAGGGCGTCCAAGATGTTGGAATGGCTTCGCAAATAATGACAACGATAACGAGGGCGATAGGAGAACAATGTCAATGAGACGCTTAGAAGAGTAATTAGCTAGATCTAATAAGTTGTAAATATCACTAAACTTTTAATACAAAATATAATAATAGAATTCTTATATCTGAGTCTTTAACTGTATATGTACAGATTTAACAGGCTTTATTAAATTATTAATCACTTATTGAACTTGCATCGTCATGTAGTTTAGAAACTTTTTTAAAATATATGCGTCCTTCATCTTTTCTTTTTCATTCTCTCATTCATCCATTCGCTCTTTCGTACTATTTCTACATTTTCTCAATCACTCTTATACTAAATATATTCCTGATAGGAACTTTTAGAGAGTATTTCCTACCTCTAGATATATTATTTAGATATGTTCTCTATACATACATATATATATTATATATATATATATAGTATGTAAAGTTTAGTAGAAATGTTCATTGTTTTCGACAACAATTGGTAAAGTATATTTTTCAATACTTTAGTATATCTTTCGTAATTTCCTATATCGATATCCGTATAATTGACGAATTGAACTTTATTATTTTTACTTCCATAATTATTTAATTGTAATCCCATGATATCACACATCAATTTCATCAAAAATATTAAACTGTCGCAATACACAACAATATAAAATTATTGCAACAATAGAGAATTGTCGCAATATACTACATATTTATAAACGACTTTACGCCGACAAGTTCGAAATTCCTTGGTCCAGCATCAATTTTGATGCCGTAAGATTCTCATCGACTAGTAACAAAAATCAAGAAAAAAAAGCCGAAATAAAAATCTTCTCATTAGTATAATGCGTCGAGTAAAACAAACTGTCTAGAAAATCCCACCATGTGAATATATAAATACATTTATGAGAATAAATAAATATGCATATAATAATATGTAATATATATACATGTATATATATTGTGTGTTATATGTTATGCACCAGTATAATATATAATGATATATTTAACATCATTATATATAATAGCAATATGAAACGTACATGCATATACATATATGCACGTATATGTACGTATAATACATTATATATATATATGTATACATATATTAATATATATATTAATATACATTACATATTCATGGCATTAAATCAGTACGAATTTCGAATTGACGTCGTACGATCGTTTAGTCGTTTAAGTCAGCCAGACACTCACCGGCCGTAGTATTAGTTGCACTGGCCGCAGCGGTGGCGGGATGCTGCTGCTGCTGTTGCTGTGACTGGAACATTGCCGTGGGATGAAGAAACACGGATCCGTACATCATGTTTTCATCCGACTGCTGTTGTTGCTGCTGATTGACTTGTTGACTGGCCGTGGTGATGACCGGCGAATTGCCGATACCGGGCACGCCGGCGGCACCGCTGCCGCTGGGTACGATCGGTGCCCCAGGAGTCGGCGGCACCAAACTGCCTTCCTCGACGGCGACGCGCACCGACTCGATGTGCCGCCGCGAGAAGACATGCTCCTGCAGCGGCGTCTTGGCCGAGTAGCGTACAGAGCACAGTCTGCACTCGTCTGGTCCGGTCGGGCCGCGATGCGGTTGAACGGCTGAGCCTTCGGCCGGCAAACCAGCCGCTAACCTGGCCTTCTTCTCCTTAGCGCGGGCATTCTGGAACCACACCTGTAACTCGTCTCCATTAGTCTCCGTAAGCTCGTGGATTAAACGCACTCATGTCCAAAGAATGATCTTCTTGTGGATATTAATGGTTATTACGAGCTCGGGATCGGCTCGCATGAGGATTATCGATGCTCACCTGGACCACCCGTTTCGGAAGGCCGATCTCACGGCCGAGCATCTCGCATTCGGCCATCGTCGGTGTTTTGTAGTCCGAGAAGAGCGACTTCATCACCTTCACCTGAGTAGCCGACATCTGCGTGCGATATCGTTTGCCGCCGGATTGACCGGTATTGCCGCCGGATTGTCCACCGGTTACTGGCGTTCCGGACGTGTTCCCGGTATTTGCGCTGGCGGGCCCTTGTCTTGAGCTCTGTGTGCTCGAGGCTGGACTTGCTGGACCGCTCTCATCATCCAAAAACTCGGTGGTTTCGCTCATGCTGTCGTCATCGCAGATGCTACGTTCGGATAGGTCAGTCAGAGGTCCGCAATCGCTGCTGCCACGGAAGTGGGTGCCGTGTTGCTCCTCGAGAAGACTGCTGAAGTTGCTCAAACACAGTTTCATTGGCCGACTGAGATCGACTGGTTTGCTCAGATCTAACGGTGACTCGCCGCTGTTCCCGCTGGCTTGATGATTTGCCGTTTCTTGTTTTCCGTTACTGTTGTGTGCCTGTATGTCGCTGAAGTATCGCTTTATTTCCTCATAATATTTCAAGGATTTAAAAGATGCCTCCATGTCGCTGTTGTTGATAGGCGGAAACAACGGCGGCATCATGTGAGGAGTGCTAGAATTGGAAGGAACAGATTCCATCGAGAGCTCTTCGTCCGGGATGTTGTCGATGTTCACTTCGCCGCGAGCCACCTGATCGGCGTGTTTGCTGCTAAGGTGAGATTCTAAAGCAGATTTTACTTTAAATAGCGCCGGGCAGAATGGACAGCGCTTATTGATAACTTGACTGTGGGCGCGAAATTGGCCCTTGCGTTCGCGGGCACGCGTATTTTGGAACCACACCTGCACTACACGCTTCTTCAAGCCGACCTCGCGGGCGATCGTCTCCAGCATTTTTCTCGATGGATTAGACTCGATCTGATATTTCTGATAGAGATAGTCTAACTGTTCCGGAAGTATTGTGGTACGTAAACGCTTATCTTTAGGTTGCTCACTGTGTTCCGAATTCGAACGATTATCGCTGCCCGTTCCCTCCTCGGGATCCTCGAACTTCCTCTTCTGCATCATGCTGATGAGTGAATGTGGACTGTCCGATGCAACTCCAGAGCTCTGGTTAGCATTAAGTGCTTGTTGCTGCAAGATTCCAAAGGGTGAGTCAGGTGGGTACGCCGAAGGGAACAAGGTCGGGTTCATGATATGTATTAGCTGATGTTCGCGCCAAAGTTCGAATCGACCGAACATCAGGTTGCATTTATCACATTGAAAACTGCCTTCCTTCGACTCGGTTTGCGACTGCTGCTGTTGCTGCTGCTGTTGTTGCTGCTGTTGTTGCTGTTGCGACTGTTGGTGCGTCTGAGACAGGGGTTGCTGTTGATGCTGATGAGGTGACGTGGCGGTGCTCAATGGTTGCTGCAACTGTTCGGTAAGCGCGGGCGCGGTTGACATATTGTTAGCTATCGTATTGTTTGTAGTCGTTGTAGAGCTGCTGTTACTGTCCTCGGAACTGAGAACCGCGGCGACCTGAGCCGCCGCAGCTTGCGCTTGCGCGCTCCTCTTGGCGTCCTCCTCTTTGAAACAATGGGTCTTCTGATGGCGTATAAGCTCGTAATATCTTTGAAATACCAGCAGGCACTTTTTGCACTGATAATTCAAGCCTGGGGTTCTCTGAAATCTACCGGATCCGTCGTCGCTTTCACGTCCACCCGGTGTCACGGGTTCGGTGGCAGGTTGATTTTCGTAGACCTTACGTGCCTTCTGTCTAGCATTCTGAAACCACACCACGATCACGCGCGGACTTAAACCGAGGAGTTTGCTTAGATACTCCAAGTCGTCATCCTTTGGATAGGCGTTGTTCTCGAAGAATTCCTGAAGTACTTTTATCTGATAATCGGTGAATCTCGTCCGATTGGCCCGTTTGCCAGAGCTACCGCCGGAGGTGTTACTGCCGTTACTGTTACCACCAAAGTAGTCAGCCGGTCCGCGACCTGGGCTCAGAGATCTCTGCGGGGTGAGCGCTATTGCGGCAATCGCGCTTGGCACTACGCTACCGGTTCCCGGAGATGGATTGGCAAAGTTCTGAGAAGCCAATTTCGGTGGTAACATCGGAGTACTCGGGGCGTTCGTAGTCGACGGAGGGTGGGAAGAAATGTCGTGATGAATAGCTGAGAATACAGAACTCATACTAAGCGCGGGTGAATGCGGTCGCGATTGTTGTCCACCCGAGCTGCCGGGCGAGTGATGCTGCTCATCTTGATGCGCAGCTTGCTGCTGTTGTTGACAGTGCGACTGTTCGAGTGTTTCCTGCTTAATCTCGGTAGATTGAGACGCGCTGGTGTTTTGCATAGATGGTGGAGGCGTGGCTTGCTTATTTGGACTTTTATCGTCAGAGGAACTGCTACCGGACACACTTGAATTTAACGGTGTTACCTTCGCCTCACCGGTTTTTTCGTATTCTTCGATATTTAGGGTAGTACTTGGCGGATTATTAAAATTGTAAGGGCTATCTTTGTTACGCTGCCGTTCTTTAAATAACGTATTTCGGAACCAATGTTTTATGACTTTAGGTGGTAGACCGCTCTGACTGGCCATTTCTAGGATTTGTTCTTCGCCAGGAGAATTATTAATATCGAAATGTGCCCGTAGTATTTTTAGCTGCTCATCCGTGATACGTGTGCGCGCTCGTTTCTGCGATGCAGCTGCATTTGCCTGAAAAATAAAAAAAATCTCCCGCTAATTAATACGATTGACATTCGACGATTGATAAATCCCGTTATACGTCTCTGAATCCTGTTTACACATAAATAAATAATGAAATAATTAGATAATTTTCTCAACTTGTCTTCCGCGTATAAACAAATCAAGACAAATTTAAACTTTCTTTTAATTTATCCTAATTTTTGTCTTGATTTTATCTCTCACCGTGATTATTGGCTATTAATATGTTATTTACATATCAACACTATTTTGTATTATTTCTGTCACGTTCGATATTCTTATAATTTCATTTGCATTTCTTATCAAAAGCTCGTTTTTATCAATGAGTAAATAGATAATAAAAAAATAAATTAAGTTAAAATTGTGACACAGGCGTTTTACTTACCGCTGCCGCCGCCGCCGCTTGCTGCTGTTGAAGGGCAAGATGCTGCTTGGCAAGAAGATCTGCTTGGTTAATCGGTGGATATGCACCAGTAGTGGCACCATCATACGGTGGTGGCGGTAGCATCATTGGCACTAGAGGTGGTTGCAGATTCATGGCAGCTAAAGCGGGCACGTTTAATCCCAATGGTAATCCCATCATTCCCATCATCAATCCTGGATATTGTTGTAACTGTTGCAATTGCGATGCAGCCATTGCAGCATTTAGAGCAGCTTGCATTTCGGTCATTTGTTGCGCAAATGAAAGTTGAGCTTGCTGTTGTTGCTGCTGCTGTTGCTGCTGTTGTTGTTGCTGTAATTGTTGCTGCTGCTGCTGCTGCTGTTGCGACTGTTGTGGAATATGATGCGGATTGGTAGATAGCACAGTCGGCGTCGTTGAATCTGTACTCGAAACTGGCGTGTTGCTCAACGCCGGGGTGGTCGCTGGAGTGGTAGATGTAGCTTCTGGTGTTCGGCTAATACATTCTTTGTTCTCGGCATTTTCTTCCTTCTCCTTTTCACGAGATTCTTTATCAGCACTGAGATCTTGAGGTTGTGCGGCGGCGGGCGTAGAACTTCTTGGCGCCGTGGTAGTTGACGAAGACGTCGCAACAGTCACCACGACACTTTTCTTTTCGTACTCGCACTTGAACTGTTGAGCGTACTTCTCGAGAAATTCGCGCGGTACGAGGTCGCGATGAACCTCCTCACAATGTGCCTTCAGAACCCAAACGCTGCTGAATTCTTTGTTGCAGTGTTGACAGGTGCTCCGCGTAAGTTCGGGTATCACATCGTCATCCATATGAGTTTCTTCGGTTTCTTCTTCTTTTTCCTGCATGGCTTGAGCTGCGAGAGCTTGCTTCTGTTGTTCCTGCTTTTGTTGCTCTTGCTGCGCTTGAAGGGCGGCGGCGGCTTCTTCCTCTTTGCGCTGTCGTCTTTGGTGATTCTCATTGAACTGCATGACAAGATCGAAGCCAAAACTTTCTAATAGATGCTTATACATCTGCGAGGTCTTGTGTCGTGGCTGGGAGAGAATATCCTGCGTCGTCTGCGAATGTTGCGTAGCTGATTGCATGTGTTGCGGCCCTGGTGTCGTAGATGTAGGAGGTGGCGTCTTAGACGGCGCGGATGAAGCTAATTGCTGTGATGCAGCAAATTGTTGAAATAATGCCAATGCCGGGTTATTCAAAATATTGCATAGCTGCTGATGTGCCGCGAGCTGATCCTGATTGACGAACACACTATTGCAGCGCGAACAGGAAGCCATTCCTCCTGTATTGCCCGTGTTTGTGTTGGCAGGTGGACTATTCGGACTTAGCGGTGGTTGTTCAATCAATGGTCGACCGAGATCTAACTGGCCACTGGCTGCAAGATCTTGCAGTTTACTGGCACGCGTTTGATGAAGAACACTTCTCATATGGATGTCCAAAGTGCTGCCTTGGCTGTAAGCGACTTTACAGATATTGCATTTGTACGGTTTCTTGTCTTGATCTTGCTGAGAATCGGGCGATTCAGTCGGGCTAGCTGGAGGTACCACCGAGATCAATGTGTTGTTATTGCCTTGCTCCTGCATTGCTCGTTTCAATTTATGTAAATGACTTACGCTGTTGTAATGTACCAGAAGGATGTTCTTCTGCGTGAAGCTCTCTTTACAAACGTCGCATTTATATGGTCTATTAGGATCTAAATATTTTTCCATGGGATAAGACATTTTTTCACCTTTACGATGCAGCAAAGTCTTGTTGTGGCCAGTCAGATAGCTTTGACGCGTGAAAGCTACCTTGCATCGGTGACACTTGAATTTTCGACTCGGATCTTGATAGGAATCCTCAGCGATCGTTTGACTGTTTAGATAATCCTCTAGCAGTCGTTGTTCCTTCTGCAATGGAGACGAATCACTGGCATCACTTTCCTCCTCGTCACCTCTAGCAGCGTCATCTTCCACATGCAGCTCGCTTGCCAGACCGGCCTGTCTCTTCAACGTTTCTTCCGTTATTGCCTGAAGAAGGGGATGCGCGTGGAGCAAGCTCTGTTTATACTGAGCCATCTCGTCTTCGTGGAGTTCGTGGACAGATTCCAGATGTCTCTGAAGCGCTTGAACTGAACGAAAAGACCGTCCGCACAGGGCACATTTAGTTGCATCTCTAATAGCGTGATACTGCGAGTGTTGTTGAAGTTTCTCTAAGGTTTTGAACGCGAGACTACACTGTACGCACCGATATTTATAAACATGTTTCTCGCTAACCGCCAAGGTAGGCGTGGCGGTCGGATGAGCTTCCCGACAATGATGTTGCCGAAATTCTTCAATCGAACGCCAAACTCGGTCGCACTTGTTACACCTGGCTAACTCGATCTCGTCACTATCACCTCGTTCACTCATCTCTTCTTCCTGGTGGGTCTTCGTCGTTGTCGTGGGCGACGTCGGCGTCGTTACGGTCGTTACAGCCGGCGTCGAGGTATTCCGATTATTGTTTAGCCAGTGGCTCTGATCCACCAATAACAGTAGCCTTTGCAGACCGTCGGTATTAACGGAGTGAATTTGCATCACGTGCTTTTCCAGGGCGGGACGTTCCTTGAAACTATCTTGGCACAACGGGCATAACAATTCCGTCGCCGGCTCTTCCTTCACCGTTTCAGTTTTCTCCTCAATATCTTGAACGTGAGCCACTTGCAAATGCTGTCGTAATTCTTCCCGCGACGTCGGCTGATACGTACAGTATAGGCACGTAATTTCTTCTTGGTCATTCTCGGCCTCGGCTTCCGGTTCTGGATCGTTGTCCGGTTCCTGTTTCACTTCACTACCGCAATCACTACCTTCCTCTCGTCGCTCTGAAAGTAGATAAAAAAAAAGAATTTGTTTTAGGATTAATTAAGCAAGAACCATAATGCTGATTTAAGCAAAATAAATTATTATGGCTATGAAATGTCATCCTTGTGAAAAAAAAACAAAGCAGTTATTAAAATTTATTTAACTGTACTATTCTTTAGTTTTATAAATAGCATACACACATACATGCTTCATGCAAGTATGTTGATACATAAAATAAAATATGTAAAATACATTCTGAAATTGTAAATTACATTATAATTTGTCAGTCTTTTATTGACTGGTGTTCATTGATCGATACATAATAGTTTTACGACCAAAATGTCCCAGTATGAAATTAAAACAACATGGATATACACAGAAAAAGAGAAGAAAATTTATGATCCGTTTATTAGTAATATTTACGAACGTCGGCCGTGTTTTAAAATTACTAAACCTGTTTGCTGCAATCGATATTTATTCATCGTGGCGTATATCGAACTTGACGGCGATAAAAGATTAATTAAAAAATTTTCATACGCGTGGTATATAATCAGCAACTTGTCCGCGCGGGAAGTGACGAGAAAAATTTTAGGGCTAACTTGTTTATAGCATTTCCAGGTATACCGTAGAAAATTTCGCAATTACGATTCACGCGAGGTAACTATCGGCATACTATAGATTATTTACGTTCCTACGATCGCCGAGAGATTTGCCACAATAAATTTGTTTCTTCAATCCGACCGGCGCGATATTAAACTTCGGCATTATGTATTCAGAGCCGGACGACCGCGCGCGCGCGAGACGGCCATCCATTTCGCGGCGATTCGTTCCTCGAGACATTAACTCGAAACGCCACACGGGAGAAAGTAAATTATAGATACTACCGGTAAACTATGACAGTGCCACACAACGAAAAGTTCGCGTTTCAGTGTCACGTACGGCCGAGGCGGCGGCGTGCGCCTGTGTGTCTTCGGAACGTTCTTTAGCGGCGCTATTATATTGATTAGACTTGTTCAAGAATCGCGCGCTCCTCCCGCGCCCGCAAATCGATCCGCGGAAGAATTATACCGGCGCAAATTACACGCGCCGATCCTTTCGGCGCGCGAGTGCGAGCGGAAGGATTTACGCAAGCGAGCGCGCGTAACGCGCTCGCGGTGTCGTCGCTCGCGGAGAGAGAAAGTTTTTCTGTCGACGCGGCGCGTCCGCGAAGAGGAACGCCGATGTGTCTGCACGCGTCGCAGATGCTCTCGCGTGCCGGTCTTGCAACAATAATAATGCCAAATTACAGATTGGTAGCGACATCGAACTACCGATGGTGGTTTCCTACAAAAAAAAAAAAGAGTACAGAGAGAGAAAGACGAGAAAGAAAAAAATACAGAAAAGCAAATGAAAAAAAAAGAAAAAAAGAACGAAAGGAGGACAGCCACCATGCCATGCACGCATCGTGCGGTATTGTCCGAAAGCACACTTGCAATGTGCGGCGTCAGTTGCGACGTCGCAGCGCGCACGGAGCAAAACGCGTGCTGCTGGTTTCACTTCGCGCTCCTGCCTTCTCTCCACTCGTATATTTATGTAAGTACAGCCCGTCGATATATAATAATACGCGGTATTGTGCGCGCCGCGCCGTGGTGGTGGCGGCGGCACACGCCACGGCCATATGCCATGCAAAATTACCGTCATCGCCGGCTAATTGTGAGATAATAAAATAATGAGACCAGTGAATTCATTAAAGGGCGCAGTCGCGAGGTTTCTTCGTTAGTATAAGGCGCAGCCCGACATAAAAGAAATTCACCGTAAAAGGAATTGCGTTCGTCGTCACGAAACCTGATTACCTTTTTGAAATTTACTTTCGGATGTAGCTTGACACTTTTCGGACATGTTACTCAAGTAGATGTTGTGTAATAAATTCGCAACTGACATCTTTATTTGATTTATCATTTATAAAATATATTAAACTGTCGGAGAGAGAATAGCAAGTTTGTAACGAATAACAAGCTTGAAAAAAAAAAGGTACGACCATAGGTCGAGTGATCGAAAAATACCACAATGTTCTTTCAGTACAGCGACAGCTGTCTCACGCAGAAAAAAAGCGATTAAAGGAATTCACTTTTTGTGAATGACGAGGAAGTGAAAAACGCGACGTATTCGTGATTACAGACCAAAGCCTTTTTCTTTTTCAGAGAAACCAAGTTGTTTGAACGTTGACACACTTTGCACCGTTATATAACTTTCTTAATGTACGAGTTTTAGTACAATGAAAATGTATGGAGGCTCTTTTAAATAAATAAATAAAAAAAAAACAAATAATGATATATTATATTATCAAACAGATAAATTAATTACAATGGTGCTATATTCGCCCCCCATAAAAAAAGGGTCGAAACGTCCATGAATATAGTATCATTTAAGTTGCCTATTTAATAATATAATATATTTGGTACTAATTACTGCGCCTGGCTATTTCTTTATTTGTTTTTGGAGTTTTTATACATTACCATTAAGCATTAATTGTTCTTTATAATTCTGACATATTAATGAATGTCACTGGCAAAACATAAAACATATTCTATCGTAAAACGCGTTTAGTTAAATATTGTCTTTAACGAATAAAATATTTTTAGCGTAAAAAGGGAAGTAATTATCGTTAACGGGCGTTAACGATAATTATGTAAACGACATTAATATTTCGTAGCGACGGCAAATAATAGTTATCATATTTGCGATGTAGACACTCACCATTGTTGGTGCTCGTAGCGTTGGGTGTCGTTGGCGTGGTCGGGCTGGGCTGTTGCGTGGATGGCACATCGGGATCACTCGTCACCTGAAACATGACGCTGATATCCGCGTGCGGGGATTCGTTCCCCGAGAGGGTGCTTCTCCTATGAATGTGGTGTATCTGTTCCATGTGAAGGTGCCGCAATGATCTCACGTGTTGCAAAAGCGGCAATCGGTGCCGGGCGCTAAATCCGCATATCACGCAGTGATACCATTTTCCGGGGGTTTGGATGTTGCTGCTCGCTTCAAGCAGATGACGGAGCAGAAGAGATGCAGCTTCGTGTCTTGGCAAGGCGGCGTGTAGGGCCAATTTATGAGCACTATTGGTGTAGTAATCGCACGCGTGGCAGCGCAATTGCGCCGCGCTCGTGGGTGACGCTAAATACTTGAGCTTCCATTCGTTACGCGGGCCACCCTCTTTCACGTGGTTCATATGCTGCAGCCGCTGCAAATGCTTGTCAGTCTTGCAATGCAACTGGAAATTTGCCTTCAGGTTGGTTTTGTAGGTACAGAGTTTGCAGACGAAGTGCGCGTTCGCCACTGCGAGTATGTCACCCTCGCGGGTTCTCGTTCTGTCCACGGCTAGATGATGGCTCAGGGCCTCGAGCGAATCAGTCGCAAAATTGTTGCAGATGCAGCACTGATACAGATGGTTAGGATCCTGATCCGCGGGTTCCGGTGGCGGCTCCATGCTGTCCGGCGAAAGTCCAACGTCACCGCCAAGATTGCTCATGGCAGCCGCGCTTGCTATGGAGCCTATGAGTTCTGGCGGAAACTGCGGCATTTGACCGCCGGTCATCATTGTCATCAATACCGCTTGATTGTAAGCTAAGTCGGCCAATGCCGCTTCCGTGGGTTGCGGTTTGTCCAGGCCGCCTAAGTGGAGCAAATGCTCGAGTTGCTGTTGCTGTTGTTGTTGATGATGGTGTTGCGCCTGTTGATGGTGGGACAACGCGGACAGGGTTTGCATGTGTTTAATGTTCTGATGCAGCACCATCGAGTTGTGCGTATGCTTCTCACTCGTCATGTGTATCCTCAAGTTGCGCGCGACGTTTGTCTCGTAGTTGCATATGTCGCAGCGAAACGAGAGCTTCGGTTTGCTCTGATTGCCACTTTGTACGGCCCGGTGTGGGCTGTGATTCTGCTGATGGTGGGGACTCCGCGTCGGCATTGGCGCGTCCTGAGACGAGGAGGGATTGCTGGTACCGGAGCCACCCCCGCCTCCCTGCTGCAGTTCTTGCATGTTGTTCAGATGCTTGTCGCTTTGCATATGTATGCTGAGATTGCCCTTCGTCGTGGTGGAGTAATTGCACACTTCGCACCTGTACGGTTTGTAGCCACAGGTATACGTTTCGCCGCGCGCTAACCTGGGATGAGGTTGACCTGCATTGCAATAAAAACAGGATGTTTCGCTCTCCGGATGTTTTTCCTTCATGTGTATTTCGAGAGTCTCTTGATATTTGTAATGCCAGTTGCACTTCGGACATTTCAAGGTTTTGCAAGAATTTCGACTATGTATTCCAGCGAGCGCTCCGCCAGGACCGGCAAGCCGACTGCTCGTCAATATGAGTTCGCATTTCGGACACTCCACTCCGCTTGGTCTACCTTGCATGTGCTCCGGACAGACACCTATCGTGGTGCCGGTTAGAAAGTTCGGTGGGGCCTGAGTGAGAGCGGCGTACGAAGATGGAGATCCTTTGGTGGATGAAGTAGGCGGTGGTGGTGAACTGTAATGCATGGCGTCTGGAGCTTTGGCCCAGGACGCGGCGCTCACTTGCGCGCCGGTCCACGGATGCTGCTGCTGTTGTTGTTGATGATTGTACGTGAGAGGGTGACTCGAGTGTGACGTGGGCGTGGTGGGAGTGTTTGGCGATGGTCGTTGCTGTTGCGTCTGTTGCGATTGTTGCTGCTGCTGGGGACTGCTAGGTACGCCGGGTGTGCTCGCCGGAGTGCTCGTTGTGGTCGGCGTTGTCTCGTGTTCGTTGGATTCGCTACGTTGTTGCTGTTGTTGTTGAGCTTGTATCTGCGTGGGCGACGCCTGGGTGCAAGTCGAGCTCGTGACAGGTTCTAGAAAACTAACAAGCGGCTGTTTTCCTCTACCCACGGCCTGTATAATGGCCGACGCCGTCGAGTGAGAGAGTATCTGTCGTTCGTCTTCCATTAGGGTAAGTTGATGCTCGCCCTGGGCGTGCGCGACGAAACTTTTCGCGTAGCCAAAACTGAGCTTGCATATGAAACACATTAGGATAGGTTTGACGGGTACTGACGCGGCAGGCGGCGGCGGTGCTGTGGGCGCCGGAGGGGGCTGTTTACTACCCTCCGCGCTCCTGTAACTGATCACCCGATAACTGTGCATCACGGGAAGATCGGGATTGTGCTGTTGGGTCGCCGAGCGCTGTTGTTGCTGTTGCTGCTGCTGCTGGTAGGCCTGATGCGCGTATAACCGCGATACATAATACGCGCTCGCGATTTGTGGGAAAACTAAGGAGTGAGGAACCGATACACCGCGCCCATCTACAATACAACCGTCGGGCAGAGAGTCGTCCTCGCTGAGTTCGCTCTCGCCTTCGATGATATAGGCTGAGCCGTCCGGGTTGTAGACGATTTTACCGTCGAATTTCTCTACGTCACCACCCGTCGGGCTCGGACTCGGGCTGGGACCCTTTTGCTGCTGACTCTGCGACTGCATCGTCATAGTCGTGGTGGCTGTGGTGGTGGTGTCAGCGATAGGTGTGGGTGTTGGTATCGCGTCGCGGGTGCAGGGTTCTGTGCCCGAAGGTGGACTAGCCGTGCGGGGATGATGGGGCTGATGAAGTGCAGCCCCAGCCGCAGGGGGGGACCCACCCACTCGGCCCCCCTCCTCCTCCGGGCTCATCTCCTGCTTCTGCTGCGTGTACGTGGAATTTTGGAAGGGTCCGCCGTGTTGCTGCTGTCGCTGTTGCTGTTGCTGATGATGGGCCGCCACCAGCTGCAAGAAGTGATGCTCGATCGCGCTCGGCGTGTGCTGCTGTAGATGCGAGGGAGGAATGTTGTGGTGCTGAAGGTGGTACGGGGGATGAGGCTCACTGGAGGGCATCACCCCAGACGTGAGGCGGGCGCCAGCCTCACATCACCTACGGCGTCTGCGCCTGCGTTCTCCGGACTTCCTCCACGGACTCTTCTTCCGTGCGGATTCGCCCGCTTCCACGCCGACTGCCTCCCCGTCTTATATTCCTCCTCACGAAGGGACGGTTCACTAGCTACCCCGACGCAAGCCCAGGTCGTACCTGCAAAAATCCAAATAAAGATCGATTATTTTAACTGACGTTTAATACTGACAATAATTTCATAGTTTTCGTATATAAGCGTTTTTCACAGTTATTAGAAATTCCGACTATAATTCGACTTTAAAAGTACTCCGAATGCTATCCAGTCGGATAAGACTTGTTCGCTCGCTCGTGACGGAATGAATTCGCAGGCGGGACATTTAGAAGTCGTCCAGTCTAATCCGGTTAAACAGAGTCAACATTTCCGAGGACGGCCGAAAGATAGCGAAATACGCAGAAGTGCAGCAAGCTGCGTGTGCAGAGGATCGCCCGGAGAAGACGGCGGTTACACAAGGTACACAAAGCCGCGACGGAGAACCGTCGCGGTAACACAACGGCTCGCGTTGTGTTCGGATTACCTGAAGTGAACCCAGCTGTGTTTGCGATCGATCGGCCGAGCTTATCTATCGATGAAATATCAATGTTCCTGTTCGAGCAATACGAGAACGAAAAACGAAAAAGAAGCACAGCGACGACGGCGAGTCGTCGCTATGAATACTCGCCTGTATACCCTCGGATTAAGGATCCTTCTTCTCTTCTACGCGTGTTTCTTCCTTCTTTATCAACGGTTAAAAATTCGTAGCACACTGACAAACCATTGTCTGCTCAAGAATGACTAGAATCTCACTAAATTCTCCTCTCGCTCTTTCCGATACAATACTTGTCTTTTCTTATATCAGATATAAATTTTACTACTTTTCGCGTAAATTATCTCTTGTATCAGTTTAAAAAAAAAGATCGTTAAAAATATGATCAAATTGTATGCTCACAGGCTGCTTAATATTAGTGCATTACAATGTTGAAAGGAAACTTAAATGAATATACATTTTAATAATTTGTACATTTCGATATCATTGCCAGGAATTTAATGACCTCTTTTCTGTACTTTGCTCCGTTAGGTTAAATCGAGTGTACTTTAGCAATTTAAAAAATCTTACATTTGAAGTTCGCTAAAGATGGCACTTTTAAAGATTTCAGATTCTTAAAAATTTGTTGCCTCTGTTTAGGGAAAAGAACGGAATTAAAACTTTAGAGATAGGAGATTCCCAGGATAGGATTCTTACGATTCAACGCACATCAGGCAATAACGCGGCCTTACTTCACGCACCGTTGAGATAATCCGATTTCAAATTACGCAAATCGACACATTACAACTGCGAAAGCGGATGGGGAATACACACGCGTCGCAATTCCGGGTTAGGCAGAGAGAGCTAACGAGAACCGTGTGAGAAGGATTAGACGCGTCCTGCCGCGGCGTGGCGCGTCACCCAAAACGAGATGCGCCGGTCGCTTTGATTATCGCAAGGAAGGGAGGGGGATAAACACGCTCACGGGAGCATAATCCACGTTTCCAGCGAAACGTGCGCGATGATGCGAATTCCTGCCGCGAGCGAGAAGGCGAGGGCGAAGCCAAGACTCTAATAATCTAATCCCAATTACGCGGGATCGCGGTCTCGAATCAACGTCGTGAGGTGGAGGCCGGCCGCAAGCATTCACGGAATCTAACGGATTAAAGATGAGCGCCGGGTGGGTGTAACGCGGGATTTATGCGCTTGGCTCGCGTGCGTGTGTACGCGGGGGTGTGGAACGGCGTGACGCGATCCGTCGAGAGAGAGTGGTATATCCCATCCTGCGGAAGAGAAGCCTGAAACCGATCCCGTCCCTCTTCCTCGCTGTCTCTCTCTTTCCCGATCGCTCTCCCCCCCTCACGCCCGTCGGCCGCGGGCGGTATCGCCGGACATTATGGTACATACGTGTATACGCGGCATTACACGGTTCCCCCTTCACCCTGTACGCTCCCTCCCGCTTCACTCTTCCTTCTACTCCTCTCTCTTTCTCTTTCTCTCTTCCCATCGAACCGCGCCATCGCCACAGTTATAATTCCGCGGTGCAAACGCCATAATCTAGTCACCGTATCCCCCGGCATCTCTTTCTCGAACGATACCGCTTTTATAATGCGTGAGGTACGCTGGCCGCGATCGTTCCCTCGGATTATCATCGATCGATACCGCCAATCCTCCTAGGCGAATCCTCCTTTGCACGGTGCCCAATCACGTGCCGCGCGTTCGAGAGACGTTCCGCGATCCCGATAAAACGGGTGCCTCGTCGACGGCGCTCATTAAAGCAAAATCGTACACGTCGAGGAATATAATTGCGTAGCCTATACTGGATCGGTGCTAAACGAGGAGGAGCAAAATGCCGTATTCCCGTAAATATGTAACGCTCTGCTTGAACATTGCGATACAAGTTTAGCTGAATTCAGCTTTCAACGTTATAGATGCGAAGAACTGTTGCGATTTTATTGTCATGAATTAACATAAAAATTATGTTTCAATATATTATATTATTTTGTATCTAGTCCAACATCTAGTCAACCCTATTCAATCGTCTTCTGTTCCGATTCTTGCTTTCCCTTCTAGGATGCACGGAATTAGTCAAGATCTCTTTTTCCGAGAGTTCTCAGAATTAAAAGTGTTGGTATTTATTTAATGTGACAATCTGACGATTCAGTACGGTATCATCTGTATAAACGATATTGATACGTTATCACATATTCCGAGTGGAGGTACGAGGTACGGAGAGAAGAATAAGGGTAACAAAGGGCATCGGGACAAACGGAGAACATCTGCCAATCTGACATCACCTGCCTCGACTCGCCTATTTCTAGTCAATTTATCACGCATTTCGGTAATGCTAGGAAGAACGGAAGGACGAGCTAGCGGCGTCGACGCGTCGACGTTAGAGGCGTATGGCGTCGAACGGCTTTGTTTTCGCAGGGCCCGGCCCTAATTAAACGATAGCATCTTAATTGTCTCCCGACCATTCTAACGCGGCGATTCATGGCCGCGATCGTTCCGAGGGTAGAGCGCCAAGTTTCGACGGCTTTCTTATATTGCAGCGTCATGATTCCCGTTTGTATGTAAGCTAGAAATCTCTGGACGCTCAAAAAATTATTCACGATTCTTTTCAGGATAACGGATATACACGAGTATAATTGTCTTATTTCAAAACTGCGTTATTTTTTTATCGTATTAATTAGATAAACTTGCAAACACACACATTTCTTAATTTATAAATATCTTTTAATTAAATCTGAATCGTTACAAATCCAATGAGATTTAATAAGACTTAATTATATTCTTTTTATTTGTAACGAAGAAAATAATTGTAGGCAGGGTGAACTTATTTTCTATGTTACATAACATTAACATTTTTATTCCGCTTAATGCGTCTGAATGATTTGTGATAATGCAGTGATAATGCAGTGATAATCTTTTAAAATTTGACAAATCGCTCGAGATAGAGAAACGGTATCAAGTTAATAAATATTTCACGAAACAATTGGGACAAGCTAAAAATGCGCACACCGATGGATCTACAAGTGCACCAGCGAAGCGATACACCCCGAAGCCCGACGTAATTATAACTTTGGAGAAAGTCGAGGACGATCACAGGTGGCTGATGAGTGTTCAATAGTGGAAAAGGGAAGCGCATGACATAACGCAGCGGGAAGAAAGACGGCGGAGGGCACGCGGTGGGATCGGGAGAGGCAGAGGGAGGAGAGCGAGGACGATTCGGCGGAGGGAAGGAGCCTTCGATGATGGGAGTTAAATGTTCGGCGAAGGAGCGACCGCGGAGTCGACGCACCGTGCCCTTTTGTTTGTCGCGGTGTTTCGCTCGAAGGTCCCTTTGTATCCCTTCGGACGGAGGTAGGAGGCATCCGTGGTCCCTATACGGGGCCCACATGGCGAACCCGGCCGCGTTTATTCGGCACGAAATACGCAAGATGCGCGCAATTATGGCCTCTCAATTATCTCGTACGCGTCTCGTTATTTATTGAATACCGTGCCTGTTTATTTCTCAGGCGAGTTTGCGTGCCGCGGTAAGAGGGTGTCCTCGGAAGGGTGGCGAGGGGGTAAGACGGCGGGCCGGCGGTTCCTTATTTTTTTCCTTGCGGGTTTCGACACGGCTCGACGTGTGGGGATGCATTGTTCGGGCTGATACCGAAACCGGAAGTCGTCGAAATTCCGCGTCGCGCAAATCGAGACCGCAGGCTTTCGCGTGCTAAAAAAAAAACGACGCGCGCAAAATAAACAGGCGCATTACTAGAGCACATTACACCTCAATACGATACCCTTTCATCATTAATCCGCATTACGAAGATTCTGTCAATTGTTAAAAAGAACATAATGTACAATATATACTACATAGTATATCTATTATACATGTATAGTAATTCACAGTCATTTTTTTAAGTATAGTCATCTTACTTTTTAAAAAGGATCATCGAGACACTATATGCTGCACGGTGCATTAGATTGCATCAATTGCCAAGTACAACGCACTGCGGCTTCGCGGTACAATTAACTGGGGCCGTATTTCTCTTATTATTGTTATTACGTGGCCGGACGGCTTTCTACTTAATATACGCGGGCCGCGAGCTTGATAAGAACTATCCACGGACAACGACCACGTTCGGCTGACGCATACGAAGCCGCGCGGAAACATACGCTATTGCCGCGCCGCGAATCGCATGCGTATGCGCTCCGTGGCTTGTATGCAAATGCCGGCGAGAAATAATTATAGTTGCACCCCGCGCGCCGGTGTCGTAGTGTCTTCGATCGCGCGCCGATCAAAAGCCCCATCGTCGCGGAGAGGAGGAAGGAAACAGACGCGCCGATTTATGATTAAAAAACGCTCAAAAGTGTCCCATTCGTTGCACTGCAGTTCGCATTTATGTAAATTGCCCGCCGCGTATATCTCGTCACGATAGTGCGAACGGGAGAAATGCGAATAACGGTTTTATTTACCAATCGCTCCTCCCGTGATTTCGTAATAGAAGTATCGATCGTTCTGTAACGCGCAGTCCTGAGTAATGCGATTGCGTGTAAACTCGTCACGATGCAAAACGCCGAGTTTCGCCGTAAGCTTGCCCAGTAACACGCGATCAATAATTATCT